TAACACCTTGTGTTTCTGCATGTTTTTCAACTTTCTGTAAATGATACCTCATTGTAGTACCATCTGCTCTTTTTTCTGTCTGCATTGTTTTTAGATGTGCCCATGTTGATACTTGTGGTTCCAGTTCACTCATTATAGCATTTGTACAGTATTCCATTAAATGAATAGATCATGATGTATCCATCCTCCTACTGATGGGAATGTAGGTGGCTTACATTTTTTGCAAATTACGAACAATGCTTCAGTGAATGTCGCCATATGTGTCTGTCTGTGTAGTTACGGAAGACTTTCTGTCTATTGATCTACAATACTTAGTGTGGGGCTGGTGCATCCTCACATTCACTAGATACATGCAATTAGTTGTCAGCCAACCTATAGTTGGTTGAACCGACTTATAACATAATACAAAATCTCTCACTTAGCAGAAATAACTACAGTTAACTATAGATCTGAGCTGAGAATTATCAGAAATTTTCTTTTGTAAGGAACAAAGTGAATATTGAGAATATCACCGTATGTACCCTCTTTGTTATCTAATTATGCTTCCCATCTGTTGTTGCTGTTGTTATTTTCCATCGAGTCGGACCCAACTCATAGCAACCCCTCCTTGGGTTTCCGTGGTGGTATCACTACGGAAGTAGATTGCCCCATCTTCCTTCCGAGGAGTGGCTGGTGGGTTTGAACTGCCAGCCTTCTGGTTAGCAGTCAAGTGCCTTAGGCACTATGCTACCAGAGCTCCCTGAAGAGGGATTAGGGGGATAAAAATGCATATGTTATTGTAAGTATAAATAAGGTAACTGGTATTATTTATCTATCTTTGGTTTCACACCTCCAGAATGAAATTGTTATGTTGATTGATACTCAAAGTTAATCAGTTCACTTGAATTCCTTAAGCCTTAGAGAGAAAAGGTTGTTTTGAGAGAAATGACTTTTTTCCCCTCCGCCAGACCTCAAAGGAGCTCTGGTAGCACAGTGGTTAAGAGCTCAGCTGCTAACCAGAAGGTCCGTGGTTTAAACCAACCAGCCACTCTGTAGGAGAAAGATGTGTCAGTCTGCTTCCATAAAGATTTACAGCTTTGGAAACCCTGTGGAACAGTTCTACTCTGCCCTATAGGGTCACTGTGAGTCAGAATCGCCTTCTCAGTGCATTTGGTTTCCTTTATCAGGCCTGAATCTGAATAAAATTTTGAAACCTATGCAACCTTATGGAGCTCTGGTGTCGTAGTGCCTAAGCACTT